CAACGATCGACATAGCCAACCGACCCACGCTCAAGTGCTGGAAGTCTCGGTGGGCTGCCACAGCAGGAGCAGCTCCGGGCACGCCCAAAGTATGCCCGGGCCCCGGCGCAACCTGGCTCGACCCGGCCTGGTCTGGGTGATGGCCCAGCATAGGACGATGATGATGCTATCCCGCATCGACTTGAAAGCGGCGATGCGTCGGCCGCAGGTCTGCGATAAGCTCCCAATAGGGATCCGCATTCTCCCAGGCGGGGTGGGCCAACGGGCCCCATCGGTCCCACAGGTCCCGCAGGTCCCACAGACCCCACAAATCGCATCAGTCCTTCCGTTCCCACCCGCCCCACAGGTCCCACAGGTCACCCTTGCTGCTGTCGGGGCGCCTTGCTGGGGCAACGAAGTTCCAGGTCGGCAATGACACGCGTTCGCGGATAGAAAACGTATCAGCGAAATGGGAAGGGATGCGAAAGAGAAACCAGTAAATACCGATCCCGCTAACCTCCGGAACTCTCCCGGGGTGCGTTCTGACCAAGCTTTCGAAGCGAATCCAGCGGTGGCGACGAGGGCCTCCCATGAGCCCCCCCAAAAAGGGAAAATGGGGCAAGGGTCGCGGTATTGGCACCTTTTTCCCGACTGATGACTCGCCATCGCTCAGACGTCCTTCCCCCGTGCATTTTTCGGTTTCGTGCGGTTATTGTTCGATGATCCAGGCTGCTCCTCGATGGTCCCCGCCGATAAAAAGGCACACGTCCGAGCGATGCCAGGGAGGCGAGGGAGGCATCGGGCGTCAGATGTGGCGCGAGCGCGCCCAGCTTGCGCCGATGCACAGGCGATGCATCGTCGACGTGGGCGATGCATCGACGACAACCAACTCGGGCTCCACATCGAGACGCATCGGCGATGCATCGGCGATGCGGCGCAATCCTCCGACACCATCTACTCCGGCCCCATGTATCGGGGGCGCACAAACATGGATTAGCGATCTACGGATTTGGCGCGCGGTCGCCACATCCATGGATCGGGGGAGGTACCCTCCCCAAAAATGCGGCCGGTGCCGCCTCGTCCGGAGGCGGAAATCCGCGATTTCCCATGGAAACGGGACCCGTCGCTAATCCGCGCCCCCTTGATCCATGCTTGCGATCGCCTGAATCTAAAAGCCATAGGCGCGCCCGGCTTGCCTCTCCCCCCTCGCCCCCTCCCCTTCCCCACCGCCCGCTCTTCGCCCCCCTCATGTCCAGATTACCCCTGCCCGCCCTCTGCCTGCCCCTCCTCCCCCCTCCCCCGGGAGAGGGAGGGAGGAGGAGGAGGAGGAGGAGGAGGAGGAGGAGGAGGAGGAGGAGGAGGAGGAGGAGCAGAGGAGGAGGGTAGGAGGAGGAGAGAGGAGGCGGAGGAGGAGGAGAGGAGGAGGAGGAGGAGGAGAGGAGGAGGAGGAGGGAGGAGAGGAGGAGGATGAGCCAGGAGGGAGGGTGGTGGGTGGGGGGAAGAGGGATGAGGAGTGGTAGGAGGGGGAGGATGGAGGGCGGGGGAGGAGGAGGAGGGTGCGGATAGGAGTGATGAGCACATGATTAGGATGAGGGAGGGTAGGTAAGGAGGGATGAGGAGAATGAGGGCGGAGGAATGTAGGGGAGGGAGGAGGGGTGGGCAGGAGGAGTCGGAGGAGTATCGAGGGAGGATAAAGGAGGAGGACCTGAGGGAGACGCGAGTAGGATCGATGTAGGAATCGATGTATTGAGTGTGGAGATTGAGTGAGTAGTGATGACCAGTGTAAGCCCAAGAGTCATCAACGATAATGGAATTAACCCTCCCTCCAAGCTCCCTTTTCACAGGCCCCTACAACGGTTCGTTTCCATTGAGGGAACTGCCTCGTTGGAAGGCAACCGTTTGAAAACACTGAAGCATGCCACAACATTGTTCTCGGGATTTCAACGCCACGGATCAACCTGACTGCTGCGTCTTGACGATCCGGAATCGTGCCAGAACGCCATGTTTGGGAGTTCAACATCGCGAATCAACGTAACTGGTGCACCCGCATAATCCTGAATCCTTTCAAAACACAACTTCTGGTACCCTAAACCCTAAACCCTAAACCCAGGAAGATCTTGAGGAGGAGAAGGAGAAGGAGGAGGACCTTCCTTCCCACCTTGCCCAAACAACCTTCAGCTCTGCTTCTGGGAAGCCCAAGCCGGCCTTCGGCAGGGTCGCGAACAGGCTCGACCTTATGGCTATGCCCTCTCCTCCTCCTCCTCCTCCTCCTCCTGCTCCTCCTCCTCCTCCTGCTCCTGCTCCTGCTCCTGCTCCTGCTCCTGCTCCTGCTCCTGCTCCTGCTCCTGCTCCTGCTCCTGCTCCTTTGGGTGGGGGGGGGGCTCCTGCTCCTATCCTACTAAAAAACACTCCTCCTCCTCCTCCTCCTCCTCCTCCTCCTCCTCCTCCTCCTCCTCCTCCTCCTCCTCCATCCCGCTTTGGTTCACCCCCCCCGCCGCACCACCGTGCGTCCTGGGAGGGCGGGCCTGGCGTCCCGCAGGACATATATTATACGTGTGAAGCTTTATCCGTTCATCAAACCTGTTTTCACGGAGCTGGAAGTTTCCAACACTCACTGAGATGGAGTGCTGTATGCTCCGAGGTGTGGCTCCAGCGCTTGTGCCTCGCGAGCTCGTCTGGCATGCCTCCGACGGCCCCACGGGTGGAGGCCCCGCACTTCAGAGTGTGGCCCTCGCCGTGCCGCCCTGCGCACTCGAGCTCAGCAGTTACGACCACTGCGCTGGTAGCTGGCAGGCGGGGTTCAACATGTAGCTCTCGGTTTGGGGCCGCGCGCGACGTGCGCGCGCCGTTGATCGAGCTCATTCGACGCTGACAAGCGCGCTTTGGGCCTTTTCTGAGCATGGGGATCTTGCTGTCGGTGTCGCGCCTCCGCCTCCTCGCCTCGCCTCCTCGCCATCCCCTCTCCCCTTCTCGCGCGCAGACGCACTCTCAGTCGGGCGCGCTCACGCTGGAGGGCGGGGCCTTGGTCCTCATCCCCCACGTCGTGTGCCCCCCTGCGGCGCCGTGCTCGCCATCGGCGGCCCATGGTCCAACGCGGGCGCTGCGGGCGTGTCTACTCGACCCCCTTCGGTGGGGAACGCGAGGGAGGCACTGAGAGCTTCACGGTCGGTGCTTGGCCCAGCCTTCGCGCTGGGATTGCAGGTGTTGGCTTCTGGTGCGCTTGGCGCCATCGTGTGGGCGTTGCTGTGCCTGCGCTGGCACCAGAAAGCCCAGGTTCAAGTCCCGAGCGGATGGGCTCTCGGTGCTCCTGCGCTCCGGCTCCCGAGGCCTGGCGGGCAGGTCAATGATCGAGGCCCGCTGATGGGGCAGTCCCTCCTCTGGGCTCGCTTCCTACGTTCGCGCAGCTTTGATATACAGTAGGGGCCCGACCACAAGAGACCTTCCACAAGAAGCCCAGCCCTGAGACCCTAGGACGTCCATTGATTTTTTGTTGTGGGAACTTCGCGCCTTCCATCGCAAAGCCATCGACACCCAAGAACCGCAGGGCACCCTGGAGGCAAGCAGGGTGTTTCTTGGCATGGGTCTCCACTGTACTCCGTGGTGTTCTGTCTTCCAGTGGTGTTATTGGCAACGAACTCGTGAATCGCAAATCGACGTCTCCACGGCTTCCCGCTTCCCTGTGTAACCAAAGATAATATTTTCGTCCGGCTATCCTGACCCGTTTTAAGAAACTTGTATAATCCTTTGCACGGCTGGGCCGCCGTACTGTCCTATCCACATTGTGTCTCAAGACGTGGATCACCATTGACTCCATGCCTTCTGTTGAGTGGACGAGCAACATCAGCCGCTTTGGCCCCACCAGGCCTGAAGGAACGAACAGGTAGTTGCATCTGTTGATACTTTCGACCTACACTTACCATGCAATGCCAATGTGCTAGTGGGGGGGCAGTTTGTCCCACCTGGCCTGCCCTGTGTGGCTTCGCACTCTACAACATGAATGCGCTATGAGGGCGGCGCGCACGTCCGTCCTGACCACTTTACCATCTCCATATTGGGTCCGATGCGTCTCTTAGGGTTTAGAGGACAGGTCGCTCCTAGTCATTCTCATTTCAAGACCCACTCGCACTCACTCACGCTCAGACTCTCAGACTCACTCATACGTGGACTAAGCCATGTTGAGACTCACCCATTCAGCACGCATGCTCACTCACACCCGTCTCCACTCACACTCAGAAGCATTCTTACTCAGACTCACTCACACCCATACTCACCCACTCTGAGTCCCACAAATACTCAAACTCACGCGCACACAGACTCGCTTTTGTTCGCGTATGTTAGGGCCCACTCCAACTCAGGCTCACTCACGCTCATGCTCACTCATACCCAGAGCCACTCACACTCAGACCCACTCACACTCATACTGACTCATCAGGCTCACTCGCTTTCAACTCAACTCGTATTCAGACGCACTCATACTCACACGATCTCACTCTAAGGCGCACTCGTACTCATACCCACTCGTACTCATACGCGCTCACTGTAAGTAATCACTCAGTACCTGTTCACGTTCAGATCACTCAGATCCATGAGTATCGCGATGTAGCAGGATGGCTTTGAGACCTCCCAAGAGGGAGCCATCTGGGGGTAGGTCAAGGCCCCATTCGCGCATCACCAGGATTAGGTAGGCATGGTACTTGGGCCTCCCAAAGGGGGGGCGTCAATGGGTATAACACGGGCGCTTTCGCGCCCAGATTGTGCGGACCTCTCAAGCAAAACGCCCGCTTCGCTCCAAAAAGGCGTCTCATTTCATAGCCACATGACTACCGCGATGCAACAACCTTGGCACTTGGACACTGGTCGAAGCTGCCCAACTCGAATTCGCCCAAGCGAATTCGACCGGCCGAAATCGTTCGGTCGAATTCGACATATACGTCCCATCTCGACCAAATCACTTCGACGGGCCGAGTCCGACAGGTCGAGTCTAACCCGCAACACCGCTGCGGCTGGGAGTCCGGCAGCATTCGGCCGAGCCGACTTCGAGCGGGCCGGCTTCGACCAGGCCGACTTCGACGCTGGCCGACTTCGCCCGGGTCCACGTCTGGTAGACCGACTGTGACCTCTCCGAGTTCGACCGGCCAAAACCGACCCGCCAGATTCGGCCGGGCCGAGTCGGACCCGCAGAACGCGACCGGGTCGAGTCTGACGGGGAAGCTTCCGCGTGCGAGCGGGCGGTGTTCCATGCACGCGAGCGTGCGGACCCTGACCCCAGACTCCCGTCGTCGTCTTCGTCGTCGTCGGCGTCGTCGGCGTCGTCGTCGTCGGCGTCAGCGTCGGCGTCGTGCGTCGTGCGTCGTGGGTCGTGCGTCGTGCGTCGTGGTCGTTGTCGTCGTCGACGACATCGTCGACGTCGTGGGGTTCTGGACCCCCGACCTTCCCGAATAATTTTTCCAAGGGGGGTGGGGATTCTGGATCCCCCGAACCCGAAAATCATTTTCCTGGAGGGGGGGGTGGGCCTACCGAATATAGTTTTTCCAGGGGAGGGGGGGGCTCCGTTTCCCCCCCCCCCTTCCCGTGTTTTTTTTTGGGTGCCCTCTCTGTCTTCCCCTCCTTCTGCCTTCCCCCCTCTGTTAATTCAAGCTGTGCGCGGCCCGCTCAGCTTCGACCGGAAGAGGTGCGCTCTCGACCCGCGGATCAAAAAAGAAGTTTTTTTTTTGGGTGGGGGGGAGAGTTGACCCCCCCCTTCCAGAGGCGGCAGAAAGGCCCTCCTTCGGAGGATGGCTTCAGAGGGCCGTGCCGCATGCCTCGCTGCGAGCCGTTGTGTGCGGTCAAGACGAGTCCGCCGACTCCGACGGCGCGTGCGCGCGGCTGGCCGGGCGAGACCCTGGCAGAGTCGAGCGCGTCGGGGCTTCTCTGGCGAAGCCCAGGCAGCATCTGCCCATTTCCATCTTTGCCCTCCTCCTCCTGCTCCTGCTCCTCCTCCTCCTCCTCCTCCTCCTCCTCCCCTTCTCCTCCTCCTCCTCCTCCTCCCCCTCCTCCTCCTCCTCCTCCTCCTCCTTGCCCGCGGGGGCGCGCGGCGGCCCGCGATCGAGGATGGCCCCCAGCGCCAGGAGAAGGCGCGACCTACCACCAGCTCATCTCGTGCAATTCCCAGTGTGCACGCGACGCCCCTTCCGTCTAGCCTTGCCCCCGCGGGAGCCTGCCAGGGCGCATGACACGGGCGCGCTCGCGCTCAGATCGTGGGAACCTTCAGTGCGACCAGATTTCAAGATTGTTTGCTCGTGCCAAGCCCTGCTCACCCTCCGATCTGCTCACAATCGCGCCCACTCGCAATTCGATTCGCTCAGATTCTGCCGCCCACGCACTGGGGCCCACTCGCAACCATACCCATTCGCACCCAGGCGCTCGCTCTTATCCATACACACTCATGCCAAATCGCTGCCATAATGGGAAGGTTTGTTAGCCAGCGTGGAACCCACACAGTGTGTTGCCAGAAAGCTATGTGGTGAAATCTATGTTGTGTGAAATATGCGACGCAATGCATGCTATGTTGTGCAATAGATGTTGGACAACCAATGTGGTACAATCTATGTGGTGCAAGCTATGCGATGCAATCTATGTGATGCAGTGTGTGTTGTGCGATTTATGTGGTGCACAGTCTGCGGTGCAATCTGTGTGGTGCAACATATGATGTGCAACCAATGTGATGTAAACTATGTGGTGCAGTGTATGTTGCGCGATCTAAGTGGTGTAATCTGTCTGATGCAATACTTGTGCTGCAATATATGTGGGGCAATTGTGCGAGGCCGCGACGAGGCGGCGACGGGACGGCGACGGCGACTACGCAGCAGGCAGACCGACGCACAGGCCAAGACGATGGCCACCGACGAAGCGGCGACGGCGATTACACAGCCGCCAGACCGACGCACAGGCCCAGTTCCTTAGAAAGCAAATAAGAAGCCCTAAGTGCAAGCACTGTTTGAGGAATGCATATCTCGACATATCTATATATACACACATGTATGTATATATATAAGAATATGTATACAAACATATATATATATATATAGATAAATGTATACATACATACTCACATTAATGGATCACAAATGGTTTGAACAGGAAAAAAAGGCATTGTGGGCAGTGAAGTCCGTGCATGTCAATCCGCATTCCGGAAGGCTCTCGGGAAATAAACTACGGAGGGGGGCGGAGGCATGATGAATCGGGTTCCCAGAAGGCCTTCTGGGAACATGGGCTTTGGGGGCATCTTGGGGAGCCTGTTGGGGCGTGCCGTCGTCGTCGTCGTCGTCGTCGTCGTTGTCGTCGTCGTCGTCGTCATAATGTCGTCGTCGTTGTCGCCTCTTGGGGCGCTTCGTTGTCGTCATCGTCGTCGTCGTCGTCCTCGTCTTCGTCGTTTCGTCGTCGTCGTCGTCGTCGGTTCAAGAGGACACTTGGGGCAACTTTCTTCGGAGCCTCCGGAGACTCTCGGGCCCATGATGAACCATGTCCCCGGAAGGCTTTCTGGGGACATGATTTGTTGGGGTGTGTTGGGGGGCTCTTGGGCGTTCCCTGGGGGCCACTTAGGGGCCTCTTGGGGCTTCCTGGGGGCCTCTTGGGGGCCTCACGGGGCTTCGTGGGAGCCTCTTGGTGGCCTCTGAGGGCCTAATGGGGGCCTCCTAGGCGGTCTTGGGCCCTCTTCGGGGTCTCGTGGGCCGTCGTGGAGCGATCTGAAGGGCCTCCGAGGCCGTGAGGGAGCGCAGGGAAGCGGGAAAAGCGAGAATACCCAAATTCTGCAAAAACCATCAGAAAGTGAATGAATTTTGGGAGCCTCTTGAGTCCGTCCTGGAGCGCGTTGGAGTCCTCGTCGGTCGTCTTGAGGGCATCTTGGGCGCCTTCGGGGCCTCTTGGGACCGTCTTGGGCCCTCTTGGGACCCCCTTTGCCTATCGTGGCCTGTTTCGGGGCGGGCCCAGCCCGTTTCGGGAGCTCTGGGACCCCCCCAGAACCCCCAGGGGGCGCCCATGGGGTGTACATGCAGCGGCCCGGGCCCCCCCCCCGCCTACTCCGATATGTCTGTCTGTCTGTCTGTCTGTCTGTCTGTCTGTCTGTCTGTCTGTCTGTATACATGCATACATGCATGCATGCATGTATGTATATATGTAGATATGTATATATGTTTGTACGTATGTACGTATGTACGTGTGCATATATGCATGTATGCATGTATGCATGTACGTATGTATGTATGCATGCATGTATGTATGCATGCATACATGCATACATGTATGTATGCAATTTTGCATGTATGTATGTATGCATGCATGCATGAGTGTATGCATGTATGTATGTATGTATTCATGTATGTATGTATATGTATGCATGTATGTATACGCGTACGTACGTACGTATGCATGCATGTATGTATGTATGTATGTACGTATGTATATATGCATGTATGTATGTATGTATATGTATGTATGTATACAAGTACTTACGTGCGTACGTATGCATGTGCGTATGCATATTTGCATGTATGTATGCATGTATACACGTATGTATGTATGTAGGTAGGTATGTATGCATGTAATTATGTGTATGTATATATGTATGCATGCATACATGCATGTATGTATGTATGCATGCATGTATGTATGTATGTATGTATGTATGCATGCACATATATATATATATGCACATATAAATATGTGAGAGAAGCTCGCACTCAAATCGACGCGCACTCATACTCAGTTGCACAGGTTGTTCCACACGCAGACACGCTCACACTAACATCATGTCAAACTCATATTCACTCGCGCCCGATTTCTCACATTCAGATTCTGTTCCGCCAAGGCTCAATCATACTCAGCCGTGCGAAACCAGACTCGCTCGCACTCAGATTCCCTTGCATTCAGACTCCCAGGAAAGGAACGACCCAGAACACAGAATCGCACCCCTTCCTGGCGCCGAAACCTCACGAAGGCTCGCACGATGAATGCGGTCACCACCCCAGCGTCGCGCGCCTTCATCTCAACACCTCGTGTCATATTTGCACGCATGGAAGGCGGGACCTTGCCGAAGCCTGGCACCCGTCGTCGAGGCGAAGGAGGCTGACGAGGAGGAGGAGGAGGAGGAGGAGGAGGAGGAGGAGGAGGAGGAGGAGGAGGAGGGTAGGATACGACGTGCTTCTCTCCTCGTCGTCGTCCTCGTCGTCGTCGTCGTCGTCGTCCTCCTCCTCCTCCTCAGCCTCCTCCTCCTCCTCTGGAGCGTCTGGAGGGCGGGCGGGCGGCTCCGGCTCCAGAAGCGGTGCGCGGGGGCGAGCACCCCCGCCGCGCCGTGCTCGGGTGCGGTCTCACCGCGTGCGGCCCCTCGAGGCCCATCGAGCCCTCCCTTATTGAATGGGGCCCAGGGGCGCACACACGTAAACACACACACAAATCCCAGGATCCCCCATATCTTCAAATACTTTTAGGACTTTCGTCTCCCCCCTCCCCCACAACCCATATTTTCCAATACTTTCGGGGGAATCGAAGATTCATTGTGTCTGTGTGTTCTTTTCCTCCTGTCTTATGATCCTCCCTGGGCAGCGCACTCGGAGCCGCGTGGTGTCCCGGGACACGTGAACAAAGCAGTGGCTCTGCGCTGTCAGGGCCGCGCTGCATGAGGCAGGAGATGCCAGACATAGTGTGAATCGCGGCTGCAGGCGCTTGCTGATTGCCTGTGCTGATGCTTGCTGCTGCTTGGTGTTGGTTGCTGCTGCTTGGTGCCGCGTGCTGCTGCGAGCAGCCGCTTGAGCCTCTCTTCGCCCTTGTTGGGGTCTCTCTTGGGGCGTCCCGCATGCTTATTCCAGCCGCTTGGTGCCCGTTGAGCAACCCATGGGCACTTCTGAACCATTTCCAAACCCTTTTAGGCTGCCTTGGGCGAGGCTGCGGTCATCTTGGAGGTCTCTTGAGCGCCTCTTGCGGGCCTCTCGGCCTCGTGCTGACTCATAGAGCGCCGATTGCAGGGACCACCTACCCGCCAAATCAAATGGGATGCAAGGCCGTCCATGTCGACAACACAACCGAAAACCGACCGAACGAAATGACACCGACACCGGCCGAAACCGACAGGCCGCAGAGACAGCCTAGAAGGACCCGACGACGCGGCAACGACACAACGACCGACCGAACCGAACCGACCAAACGCACCCGGCTGCGACGCAGCCGAACCGACCGAACCGCGGACACCCTTGGGGATGTGGGTGGGCAAAAGGGAGGAGGAGGAGGAGGAGGAGGAGGAGGAGGAGGAGGAGGAGGGAGGAGGGAGGAGGGGAGAGGAAGGAGGAGGAGGAGGAGGAGGAGGAGGAGGAGGAGGACGAGGAGGATGAGGAGGAGGAGGGAGAGGCCAACCTCCGACCGTGCCCCCCTCCCGAGGAGAGGGCGGATCGACCGAGAGGGAGATGAGGGAGGGATGGAACGCTCCCCGCCTGGCTACACGGCAGGCTCCAACCGTGGCGACGCCGGCGCCAGTCTCTGACACCTCGCCGACTGCTCTCGGCTATACGCAAGGGTGACCCTGGGCGAGAGTGACCGTTAGTGCGCAGCTTTCGGGGGGCCGCGAGGGGGGCAAAACCGAGCGCGCGAGCCGCTGCTGTAGCATCTCGCCTAGCGATCGGAGAGCACCCGTGGGTCCGCACCAAAGGTCCCTCCGGCGAAAGGTCACTCATACGTGTATAGAAGAAGAAGAAACTACTACTACTACTACTACTACTACTACTACTACTACTACTACTACTACTACTACTACTACTACTACTACTACTACTACAACTACAACTACACTACAACTACAACTACAACTACAACTACAACTACAACTACAACTACAACTACAACTACAACACAACTACAACTACAACTACAACTACAACTACACTACTACTACTACTACTACAACAACTACTACTACTACCACTACTACCACTACTACTACTACTACTACTACTACTACTACTACTACTACTACTACTACTGCTACTACTACTACTACTACTCATCATCATCATCATCATCATCATCATCATCATCATCATCATCATCATCATCATCATCATCATCATCATCATCATCATCATCATCATCATCATCATCATCATAATACTGATAATAATAAGAAGAAGAAGAAGAATACTAATACTAATAATAAGAAGAAGAAGAACAAACGGCATAAAAGTAAACTTTTGGCGCTCCGCGCGGATCTCTTGGATCTGCGCTGGACCCTCCTCCATGGCGCGCGGAGCGCGCAAGGGGCGGCGCCGGAGGCGCCGCCAGGGGTGCCCCAGCGCGGATGCAAGAAATCCGCGCGGAGTGCCAAAAGTTAATGTTTTTGCTGTTTTTCCTTCCTCGAGTGTAGTACATGTTCAACCCGAAGGGGAGGCGGGGGTCCGAGAGCCCGGCTCCTCGTGAACGTGCTCCACTCGCCAGTCGAGCCAACGTACCCCGCCGCCGGACGCGTGCCGGTCCCTCCGGGACAGGTCGGTCACCTCCCGAGGCAACGCCAAAGGGGGGGCCACCACGGAGGCGGTCGCCTCCTCCTCCAGAACACGGCCCCCCCCCCCCTGGACTGCTGGACTGGACTATGCTGGACCCCCAGAGTGGAGGGTAACAAATCCCCCCCCCCAGCCCCATAGTAACCACCCCCCGACAAGCGCGGCCGTTCAGTGAACGCACCCCGAGGAATCGAAGAGGGCAGGGCTGCATAGTAGACGCCCAGGGCCGTGCAGTACACGCCAGGTCTCGAGCCCTTCCCGCGACGGAGGCGCCCGCAAGCGTCCCAGACCTCCTCGATCCTCGATCCAGGGTTTCCAAAAGGAAGTGCTTACCCACGCAGACCTGGCAGTTTGGCCAGTGATCCTCCTCCTCCTCCTCCTCCTCCTCCTCCTCCTCCTCCTTCCCTCCTCCTCCTCCTCCTCCTCCTCCTCCTCCTCCTCCTCCTCCTCCTCCTTCCCCCCGTTCCCCAGATTCTTATCCACGGATTCCACGATTGGGGGGGAGGGGCCGGGCCCACCCCTCTGTTGCGGCACCCGCGTTTCAGCCGGACATGAGCCAGCCAGGCCCTGCTCTGCCAGCCTCCCGCTGCCGGAGCGGCGCCTGGCCTCCGAGACGGAAGCGGCGACCTCCCCTGGCGGTGACGCCACCCCCTGGCGCTGCCCCCGAACTTGGTAGTCCCCAAACGTGGTGGTGACAACACCTGGCGGTGAGTCTCGGGCGATTTGGTGTCACCACCCGGTTTGGGGGCTCGTGCGGTTTTCCGAGGATGTCCCGAACGTTGGTGGGTCCAGGAGTCACAGAACCCGGCGGTGACCCCGCGTCCCCAAACCCAGCGGTGACCTTTTTGGGGATTCCAGGTCGCCACCTGGTATCTCACCACCCGGTTTGGGGGTTCCCAACGAACCTCCAGCACTCCCCCGATCGCGCCCGGGAACTCGGCCCGGAACACGCACTGCTCCACGTGGAAGAAGGCGCGGTGCCTGTCGCTGAGCCACGGATTGCAACAAAAAACGAAGGTTTTTTTTTTTTTTTTTTTTTTTTTTTTTTTTTTTTTTTTTTTTTTTTTTTTTTTTTTTTTTTTTTACAATCCTTCGTTTTTTTGCAATCCTTCGTGCTTTTTGCAATCCTTTTTTTGCAATCCTTCGTTTTTTTGCAATCCTTCGGTTTTTTTGCAATCCTTCGTTGAAGAAGGCGCGGTGCCTGTCGCTGAGCCACCAGCACCACCACTGCGGCCACGAGATGCCCGCGGAAGCCGCCGTCAGCAGCACCGCCTCCCGCCCGGCCTTGTGCGGGTCGACGGCGTCGAACGCGAGGCCTCCCAGCGACGTCTTCCCGATCCCCCGGAAGAGGGCGACGTCCAGCTTGCCGAGGAAGGCCTCGCCGAGCAGCCACCGCCACTGGGGGAGCTGCGTTCCGTATTCCCCCCGGGAAGCCCATCGCGAGGGCAATCTTTCGAGAGAGGTGCCGATGAGAAGGGGGCCACCCTCCCGGGGGGGGGAAGGATCACGGCTCCTCCCAGTTGTGGCCGCTGTGCCTCGTGCGCCCCTCCCACCGTGTTTACCGAGTCGGCGCCGCGGCCGCTTGGGCAGAAGTCGAGGTGGAGCACCCGCAGCCGGAGCAGCTGGCGCAGCGACAGCTGCTCGAGGTCCCCCTGGGCTGCCGCGACGTCGGCTGCGGGAATCGCCTTCTCGGGAGAGTCGGAAGTGAAAAACGGGGGAGGTAGGGCCATGGGGCGGATTGGAAGAAAGTCGCGCTGAATGTCCACTGCAGGAAGAAAGTGTGAGCCTCCAGCTTGAAGCCTCCTAGATGGGGTCCGAGTAGATGGGGTCGAAGGATCGCGCCGCATCGCCGATGCATTGGCGATGTATCGGCGACGCCGACGATGCATCGGTGACGTGAGTGTAAAGAAAATCGGGCTCCGCATCGAGCTGCATCGCCGATGCATTGGCGATGCGGCGCGATCCTCCGATTCCATCTGCTTGGACCCCATCTGGGAGACCTAGTCAGCTGGACTCGTTGCCTCATCCCACCATGGGCTAAACTTGGGTCGGGCATGTCCTCCTACAGGCGGAAACACGACAAACAGTCCAAACACACTCAACACTAGTCAACAGCAACTTGACGACTCGTCCCCACGCTAGTCTTGTGCTACCTGTGGACCTTCCTCCTGTTTAGAGGGACATGCGACACGCCCGACTTACTGACGGCAAAACCCCTCGGTCCGGTCCACCCCTTTTGCTCCGCGGGTCGCGGCGGCGGCCCCAGCAGCACGCCGATGTTATGTGACCTGCAGGCGCCAGTTGGCGCGCGTCGAGGAGGGGGAGAGGAGGAGGAGGAGGAGGAGGAGGAGGAGGAGGAGGAGGAGGAGGAGGAGGAGAGTGAGGAGGGAGAGGAGGAGGAGAGAGGGGGAGGATGAGGGAGGAGGGGGAGGAGGAGGAGGAGGAGGAGGAGGAGGAGGAGGAGGAGGAGGAGGCGGAGGGGGAGGAGGAGCGAGGAGGAGGGGGAGGCCGGGCCGGGCTCGCGCTGGTGGCGCTCGGGGTCCCGGGGCGTGGTCGGCGAAGGTCGCGCCAAGGCGCGGAAGGACCCGCGGCGCGACACGCTGAGCAGCCTGTCCTTGCGTCGGGCGTGTCCCTCTACAGGAGGAATCTCCCAAACTGGTCAAAACATAATACATATATATATATATATATAGATATATGGGGAGAATTTTTCGACCTGTTGCCGAGCATGTTTGGATACTTTTGGGCTGTTTTCTTTTTCTTCTTCCTTCCAAAAGCCGCCTGTAGGAGTACATGTCCGACCTAGAACTACCCTCAGGTCGGGCATGTCCTCCTATAGGCTTATTTTGGACGAAAACAAAAAAGACACTCAAACATACTCAACGGAAATCGAGCATAGTATGAAATCTTCCCCAGACTATTTTGTTTGCCTACTTTTGAATATGCCTCCTGTAGAGGGGCACGCCCGACTCAAAACTGTCCCGATCGTGCGCGCCCTCGAGCCTTCAGGTGCAGGGCTCCCGTCAGCAGCTGTCGGAAGAGCCCCTCGCGCAGCAGCGGCGCCTCGCACTGCCCGAGGCGGAGGGGCTCCGTGGCCCCCTGGTCGTCCCACTTCTCGTCCAGCAGGCGGAGGCCCGCCTTCAGGGCCTGGCAGGAGCGGCGGAGGAGGAGGAGGCGGAGCAGAAGGATGATGATGATGATGATGAGGAGGAGGAGGATGAGGAGGAGGAAGAGGAGGAGGCAGATGATGATGATGATGATGATGATGATGATGATGATGATGATGATGATGATGATGATGATGATGATGATGATGATGATGATGATGATGATGCTGATGCTGATGAAGATGATGATGATGATGCTGATGCTGATGCTGATGCTGATGATGATCATGATGCTGATGATGATGCTGATGATGATGATGATGATGATGATGATGATGATGAGGAGCAGGAGGAGCAGGAGGAAGCAGAGGAGGACGCAGAGGAGGCGGAGAAGGATGAGGAGGATCGAACTGGGCCCTGGCCTGGTGCTCGTAGATTCCCCTCACGCGCCACTGCCCGGTGCCAAGCACCTCCACCGGCGGGGCCCGCAGCTCCCTCGCCTCCTCCACCTCCGCGGGCCGCTGGCGGGAGTGGGCGGTGCTGTCCTCCTCGGCCGCTCTCAGCTGTTCTCGCCCCTCGGCCGTGGACATGCTGCTGATGAGCCCCTGGACACGCTCGCCCGGCGTTCTCGTCTTTGGCCCCTGGGGCGGCGGGGCCGGGCCGCCGCTGCCGGAGCACAGCACAAGCGACTCGCCAACAGGGTGGGGCGCCCGCCGCAGCTCCCCGAGCAC